GCCCCCATTTGGGACTGTCTGGTTGCAGGAAAACAAGCTCAGGACTCCCACTGATTCTGCATTATGGGGAGTTGTATCATTATTTCATTATATATCACAACACAACAATAATAAAAATAAAGTAGAACAATAAATGATATGTGCTTGATCATCTCAAAACCATTCTCCCCCAACCCCTCTAGTCCACGGAAGAATTGTCTTCCAAGAAAGCAGTCCCTGGTGCCAAAACGGCTGGGGACTGATTGCTCCTCAGCTGCAAACCTATATAGCACACTACTGTACAGATCATTGTAGGCAACTGTAACACAATGCGAATTATTTGTGTATCTAAGCATAACATTATAATCTTTTTTTTTTTTTTTTGAGTTGGGAGTCTCGCTCTGTTGCCCAGGCTGGAGTGCAGTGGCATGCTCATGGCCACCTCAGCCTTGACCTGCTAGGCTCCGACGAACCTTTCTCCTGTCTTCCAAGAAGCTGGAACTACAGGCACGTGCTACCACACCTGGCTTATTTGATTTATTGTAGAGATGAGGTCTCGCCAAGTGGTCCGGGCTGGTCTTGAACCTGTGGGCTCAGGCAATCCATTGGCCTCAGTCTCCCAAAGTGCTAGGATGGCCGGGCGCGGTGGCTCAGCCTGTAATCCCAGAACTTTGGGAGGCCGAGGTGAGTGGACTGCCTGAGCCTGCGGGTTCACGACCTGCCTGGGCAACTTGACAAGACCTCATCTCTACAATAAATCAAAAATTAGCTGGGCGTGGTAGTGCGCGCCTGTAGTTCCAGCGACTCGGAAGGCTGAGGCGGAAGGATCGACGGAGCCCAGCAGGTTGAGGCTGCGATGACCAGGAGCGGCCACTGCACTCCAGTCTGAGTGACAGAGTCCAACTCAAAAAAAAAAAAACCAAAGTGCTAGGATTACAGGCTAAGCCACCAAGTCCGGCCAAGATTACAATCTTATGGGCTTACCACCATATATGCAGTCCAGTCTGTCACTGACCAGAACGTCACAATGTGACACATGGCCATATATTTGAAAGTGGAATTGCTAGGTCATGTGGTTATTTTTAATTTTTTGTGGAACCTATGTGTTGTTTTCCATAGTAGCTGTACCACTGAGTTCTGATTTCTCCATATCTCACCAATGCTTTTTTCTTTTTTTAAAAATAGTAGCCATCCAATGGCTACTATTTAAATTATAGTTTTGACTTGCATTTCTGTGATTACTGGTGACAAGAGCATCTTTTCTTGACTGTCAGTCATTTGTATGAGACACCATCTTTTAGCTATAAAGAATTTTTAAACATACTCCATCACCAAAAGGAAAAATGATGCCTTTAAAAGGGGGTATAGTAAACCTGAATAGAATATATTATACTAATGTTTAGCAGATCCTATCAGTTGATGGTGTCGATAACTTCTTCTGTATCCTTGTTGGTGTTTATTTCTAGTTGTTCTATGAATTGTTGAGAGAGGGATGCTGACGTCTCTAGGTACACCTGTGGATTTATGGTTCTTTCAGGTCTATCAGTTTCTGCTTCACATATCTTATAACTCTGTTGCTCACTACATATATATTTTGGATTACTAGGTTTTCTTGGAGATAACTCTTTTAACAATATCCCTCTCAATCTCTGGTAATTTGTTTGGAACTGTACTTATCTTTGGTTAATGTTTGCAAGGTCTATCTTTTCCATATTTTTCCTTTCAACCTATGTACATCATGATCTTCGAAATGAGTTTCTAGTAGACAGTTCACTGAGTCTTTCTTCTGTCTTCTTCATTCTGTGACTGAGCCCATCCATTTAAGTCATTATTTTAGCTTTTGTTTTTTTAGTTCTAAAACTTTCACTGGTTCCTTCTCTACATTTTTTAATCTTTTCATTTTGTATCACACGTGGTCATTATGTCCATTAAAGCGTTTTTATGATGAATGCTTTAAAATCATCAGATAATTTTGATGTCTATGTCTTGTTGGTGTTGATGTCTGAATTTCTTTTCTCATTCAGTTTGAGAGCTTCCTTATTCTCGGCAAGACAAATTATTTTCAACTGAAATCTGGACATTTGGAGTATTATGTTTTTTGGTTTTTTTTTTTTTGAGTTGGAGTCTCACTCTGTCGCCCAGACTGGAGTGCAGTGGCTGCTCCCGGCCACCGCAACCTCGACCTGCTGGGCTCCGGCAATCCTTCTGCCTCAGCCCTCCAAGTAGCCGGAATTACAGGCATGTGCTAGCACGTCCGGCTGATTTTTTGATTTATTGTAGAGATGAGGTCTCACTGCCCAGGCGGGTCTTGAACCCGCAGGCTCAGGCAATCTACTCACCTCAGCCTTCCAAAGGCGTGGGATTACAGGCTGAGCCACTGAGCCCGGCTAGGAGTATTATGTTATAAGACTCTGAATCTTTTTTTTTTTTTGGGTCTGGCAAGCATGCAAAGCAAAATTTTTTTTTTTTTTTTTAGAAAGCAGGATTTATTGCAAGGACAGAAAAGCTTCCACAGTTGGAGGGGACTCAGAGGGATTGCCCACAAAGTAATTCTTGTGCCTTAGCAGAATTCCTCTGGCACCACAGTCCAGTAGGTGAAGTCAGGCAACACTTCATTATTGCCAGGCAGGGCTGGAAGTTTATGTTCTCTGCTAGATCTCCAATGATACCAGAGGGCTTCTTGTTACTGATGAGTGGGAGTGGAGGGTTCCCTTGTAGGGATCCACTGATAACATGGCCATTCAAGTGGAGGAGTGACTTGTACCCCTAAGGATTGGGGTGCATGGACAGACTCTACACTTGGCCATAATACCTTAGAGTCATTGTTACCTCAAAATTATTCTCAGTTCTTACCTGCCCTGAACTCTGCTATATTGGTACCACTGGAATATATACTTCTTTAAAACTCTTACCTCCCTTGGATTTCATGACATGACCCTCTGGATATCTCTTTTTACCTCTCAAATACCGTTGGAAATTATTCATGGAAAACTTTTTATTTCCTATCTCTTAAGAGTGCAATCTCAGGCCAGGCACAGTAGCTCACGCCTGTAATTCCAGCACTTTGGGAGGCAGAGGCAAGAGGACTGCCTGAGCCCAGGGATTTGAGACCAGCCTGGTGACTCAGCAAGACCTCGTCTCTACAATAAATCAGGTGCATGCCTGTAGTTCCAGCTACTTGGAAGGCTGAGGTGGAAGGATTGCCTGAGCCCAGTAGGTCGAGGCTGTGGTGGCTACGAGGGTGCCACTGTATTTCAGCCCAGGTGGCAGAGTGAGACTCTGACTCAAAAAAAAAAAGTGTAAACTTTAGGGTCTGCCTTTAAAGCTTTTTTTCTCATTCTATATACCTATCTAAGCAATTCCACTAACTCTCATAATGAAACAATAGCTGAACAACTTACAAAGTAAAGCTCCCTAAATCTATACCTCCAGGCCAGAACTTCAACACTCTGTAGTCACATATCCAACTGCTTATTGGCACTGTCCCTTTTGTTGTGTCACAGGCATTTCAAAGGGTGCTCATGCTCCTCACCATCCAAGCCTGCTCTGCTTTTGCCTTCACTGCTTCAGGGAGTGTCAACATCATGTAGCAAGTTTTATGAACCAGAAAACTAGGAGTTATCTGGCATCCACTTCTCTCCCTGCTAATATCCAAGTAATCAGTCCAAGAGTCCTGCCAATTCTATATATACTGGGTAAGTTTACCTTGTAAAACATCTCATCATTTCTTTTCACTCTGACTCCAATGCCTTATTTAGGTTTCTTAAATCATCTTCATTAAATTCCCTTAAATTACATCTTATCTAGACTCCTATAATGCACAAGACTATCAAAATGGTCTTAGGGAAAATCAATTATTACCATAATTATGTGTTGTTCCCCCACCAAACTGTGGGTTGCCACCACTAGTCAGCTATAAAATCAATTCAGCAGGTTTCAACACCAGTTTTTTAAAAATTTGTTTTATTTAATGAAATACATTAAAAGAAACCAGGAAATATTAGACAGCACTGAGCATACTAAGGCTAAGTTTTATTTTGTTTCAGATGCATGCCCAATTAATATCACGAACCAGTAAACACATGCAGATGTATATATGATAAACACACTGTACATAGGTATATATGCATGTACTCACGACATAAACTCTTCCAGGAAAGCTTTCTGGCCCCTCATATCTCCCAACTCTCAAAGAAAATGAATATCTCTCATCTGCTGTCTGTATCATGTTAAGGTTCCTATGATTGCTTTAATTCCACACTTGTGTTTCCTACAAGATCATAGATTTCTAACACAGGACTTGGCACACAGCTGGCATTTGATGAACACTTATCAAAGGCAACGAGGGAATTCACACTTTTGTACCTGCTCAACACATTGGTATCTAGGGTTGTAACAATCTTCTGAAGGTTTAAAACACTATAGCAATTAACAATGTAATAAAGCTACTATTTATGAATAGTTTTAATGTGCTAGATTTACTTCCTAGTACTTGATATGTGTTAACTCATTTAATCCCTGCAACTCTTTTAGACAGTATTCTTTATTAATTTTTGGAGTCTCTCCCTCTGTTGCCCAGGCTGAAGTGCAGTGGCATGATCACAGCTCACTGCAGCCTCAACCTCCTGGGCTCAGGTGATCTTTCCACCTCAGCCTTCCAAGTAGCTGGGAATACAAATGTAAGCTATCATGCCCAGGTAGTTAAAAAAATTTTTTTTGTAGAAATGAGGTCTTGCTATGTTGTCCATGCTGATCTTGAACTCCTGGGCTCAAGCAATCCTCCCACATCGGCCTCCCCCAGTGCTGGGATTGCAGGCATGAGCTACTGTGCCCAGCCAGCATTTTCATTTTTAAAATATAAAAAGACAAACAAAAAACAGATTAAATAACTCCTAAAATGTTACCCAGTAAGTGGTAGTGATAGAATTCAAAACTCAAACAGTTTGACTCTGGAAAACAAAGGTAAACAATATGACAGACAGTTAAAGACTTAGTAAAAGGTCAGTGGAAAATTAACTTACTTCAAATAAAAGTCTATAATAACATCATTTAAAAATTCTCCTTCATTTAGACAGTGCAGGTCCTCATTAGTAACAGAGATGCCTCCCTTGGCTGGAGGTGGTGGATATACTATCAACCTGTAACAAAACAACAACAAAAATCAAGCAAATAAACCTGTATATTTATATATCTCTATATACAACTAAAATTTAATAAAACAGAAAGAACTTTAAGCACACTGCAAATGTAAAAGAAGTCTCTTACTTTTCTACTGGGCCAATGAAGATCATGTGGTTCTCTCCAGTTTCGTCTTCATCATCAAAAAACTGGAATTCCTGTTTGCTTCTGAGTTGTATTTTAGATTCAAAGGATACCTGGTAAAGGAAATTAAATTAGCAATTCACAAGGTCACTTGGGAATAAAAAAAGCACACACAAGGCAAGAAAGCGCTTCAATGAAAAAGGATTAAAAATCTAAAAAGGATGCATGATATTTAACAATTAAAAATAAGAAACAGGCTATAACTAGGGACCACTTTCTTGTCATCCGTAGCTTCTAGACAGTAACTCTCTCCCAACTTGTGTCACAATGATTCTCCAGTCTCTTACTTCTCTGTGATCTCTACTTATCCTTATTAAACAACGCAGGTAAACTTCAGAGAACCTTTCAAAAAACTATAGTGCTTTTCTTCCTCTAGCAGTGGCAATCTACAATCAACAGCTAGGCAATCTACAATGAGCTTCAGTCCTCCACAGACCTAAGTGAAACAGGGGGTCCACAGAGGGAAGAACCTGCATTGAAACATAAGGCCATCTCTGCTGCCTTTTGGCTCCTGGAGTTTTTCTTCCTCTGGCATTATGCCCCATAACCTACTACGCAAAAGTAGAAGAACGAGTTGCTCCTTTTTCCTACTCTTTTCCCCAACCCACTAACTGTACAAATGGCTCTTCTCTGGTAAGGCCTTGATCAACCATCCCCAAGAGTATGCCTTAGATAGCCACATTTCCATGTGTGTAACCAGGTTGAGAGATTTGATACTAAAAACATTAGGTCAGCAAAATTCAGTTAGTATGATACTTGGAATTTTTAAGTTATATTTATGCTGCTTAGCGTTATACTATAAGTTATAGTAGTACTGTGGCCTTTGGTTCAGGCGGCTTCAGAGTCATCTAACTATATGAGTAGTTTCATTTTAGAATTTGATATACATTTTGACTATCAGGGTCAAACTGAATGCATTCTTTACTTCCCAAGTTTTCAACCATGTATGCCTATACTACATACAAACGTACAATACACCAGGGACCAAAATTCCTTTAAACCTAAGACACAAGGTACTAATCAATTTGAATGTAGCAATGTATACATATGTATGTTGACAGCAGGGTGTGAAGAAAAAAGAATGAGAGGAAAAAGAAGACGAAAAGTAAAGAATGTGGAGAGGAACTAAAAATGGGATCTGTAACAAGTACTATTTATCACCTACCCATCACTGTTTTGACATAAGACAGTTTACCAATCACACATAAAAGTAACTCTGAAATGGAATTCAAAAGATTTAACACTGAAAAGTACAGAATTAAAATAAAAACAATTACAGGTTTAATTTTGTTTTCTTTTTGCACACAACTTCCTTTGATGCTTTCTTCATAGGTTCTTGTACAGGCAACAAGTCTGCTATTGGCTTCATCAAAGGGAATTTTCGCAAAAAAACTGGAAATGTTATTCTTTACACCAATGTCATTAATGATACTCTCAAATACCATATTTGCTTGAGGATCAAGGCCATTTTGAAAGATTAAAATTATATACTGTTCTTCCAAATCTGAAAAGAAATAAATACAACTGTAAGTCTGAAAGAACAAAATAAGTAAACAGATCATTTAAAAAAGAGCAACAAATAATTATTCCCAGAAGGAGCCTCAGAAATCCTGGTATAAATGTCCACAACAATTTCGGGCATACAGTAGCTAACACAATAGATACTGGAATAAAGACCAGTGAGTGTTACTTGACAACGTCACCTAAGTTAGTAGGAGAAATAAATCAGAACACATTAGTTTAGCAACAGCTCAAGAAATCTATTCATGAATTCACTAATTTACTTCATTTAATAAATCTAAATCCATTTATAGTCTTAAATATATATCTTAACATTTTTGTCAAACACTAACAGGAAACTGCCAAATGAACTGGTATTATCGCTAAAGAATTTAACTGTAAAAACGCTGTTCACTAACATGCCAACTCCTGCAGCTACAGTGGGAGCGAACATTTCTTCCCCATTAGGCTGAAGTAGCAGTCACTGTTGAAACACACTTATTTCATCAGCATTCACACAATGCCACCAATGCCAGAGGTAAAGGGAAACAAACTCTGAACCACATTTATATGCTATAAAGACTTAAGACCCATTTTAGGAACTTGGAAGCTTCCTATTCAGGCATGTTTCAAGGATTCCAGATTTACCTGGTTGATTTACACTCAGTATTACTGGTGGTTAAAAAAATCCCTTTTACTCAGATTACAGAGTGCTAAAGGAGTGAAGATCTTTTAAAAGAGTTTTAATCAATTATGAAACTTTCTAAATGTGTAAACCTGGGTTTTATCTTCAGCCCTTCCACTTTCTGTGGAATTTTCATCTGTAAAATGGAGAAAGTAGTATCTATTTTATGAGGCAGCTGTTAGAACTAAAGCTAATATACACCAAAGGCATCTATCACAGTGCACTCACATTTTGCTCTTCAACAGTTTGTATTTATTATTCTAGTCTGTCCTACACAACTTACTTGTTAGCTTATTTATTCCTTTACAATCATTCGAAACTTTGTCCTCCTTATTTATTTGCAGTTGCATGCTTAGCTTTTGATAAACTGCTGGTGTAGCCTGAAGAAACACTACTGGCAGTTTTCGGACATTACACCATTCACATTTCGTTAGATCAGAGGTATTCAAAATAATCTCTAGAGGATCACGATCTGGTTCTGGAGGAAAACAAATGAAAATGGAAAAGGGATCAATTCTTGAGAGGGCAAGATCATAAATGAAAGCAACGGAGAGAAAATGCATGCCTAGATGACAAGCACATATATTTTATGCTCTCCAAATAACAATTCTATGGGAAATAAAAATCTTTATAACAACCTTAAAGTAGGTTTTACATTTTTTCCAAATGAAGAGAGTTCTAAAACAATTTAGATTTTGTGATTTACAGAATGAAATTATACCAAGATATAGACCCTTTGATCAGAAGATACATGTAATGATTAATCATGTTAATGAATCCTATGAATATTATCCAATCTTTTATTCCTGTAAAGGGCTTTAGTGTAAATAAAGCTTCAGTGAGTAAAAAACCAAAATAGCTTACCGTCTAGCTGTATCTTGATAAAATCTAAAGAAAACTAAAAAATAAGATGAATTAGTATTGGTCATAGACATATAAAGAGTTTGCTACACATACCCTAAATGATATGTTGTATCTGGACTTTCAGTCTCCAGAGGGCAGAAAAACTAAGCCATCTACCATGTGCTTAAATATAAGATGAAATATTTCCCTTCAAAAGATGATCCCTCAGAAAGGCCGGTTTCAATTGTTTTATTTGAGTACACAGAACATTTCTTATACTAAGGGTTTCTCTCTTAAAACCTCCCAAGAAGTGCGTTACATTACAATGAACATTAAAACACCTGAACGCTACTTACCTAGACTAACTG